GAATCCTTGTCTGGACAGGCAAAAGGCTAGGTAGACAAATTAAAGAGTGTTCTCCCCTTCAAGGAGTTCTGGGATACTCGATGAAACTGAATCTAGTCTCCACAGTAAAGGCAGAGGGACCCACCTGAATCAAGCCTGAGGGGCTCATATTAGCTTTGCGTTTGTAGACGACCAGCTTTCCCGCAGGAGAAACCCCTGCATAAAAAGGCAAGCCTTTGCCCCCATGCAACTTCTCCCGCAGTTTGTCCAATGTGTCTGCCCGCAAGAACTTTAGATTTTCTGGGGTTTTGTGTGACAGCACTCCGCTATCAGGAGTCTCCAAGACAGGTATCTCAGGCTTCTCATCCTTGTCCTGGTAGGATGGCACTGAAATTTTCACTCTGGAGGAGTAGACAGGAGGGTGGTTCTCATCCTGGGCCTTGTGTTCCGAAGCCAATTCAATAATGAAGCTACCCACTTTGAGGCACTGTGGTGCATTACTGTTGATACGTTGTGATAAGATGGTCAAGATCTTATCATGATCTTCCTCCCGGTTGTGGTCAGAGATAATCTCGATAAGTTTGGTTGGTCCACCTGGAGTGGTCTGATGAACATAGGAGGTGGAGGAAGAGTCCCCCTCACTACGGGAAGACCACCAGCTTTTCTCTGAGAAAGAATTGAAATAGGTTTCTGCAATACTATGGCATTTTAATCACCTGGATATTCAAACAGTTTTATTCTGCCCACACCTCCACCCCTGTCTCAGCTGCAGGGCAACAAGTAAAAGAACTGTTCAAAGCATCACTTCCCCTTGCAGAGCTTCACAAGCAAGCAAAAACTCACTGCAAATCTAATGTAACTATGTCTCACAGTTCATTCCCTGCAGCCATACCGTGTCAGGTTGTATCCCTTTGCATCACAAGCTAAACAAAGCTGGGTTGTTTCAGTACATGGATGAAAGATCTCCAAGCAACACCAACATGCAGTAGAAAGCATCGCTGGTTATTCAAGAGATGGCACTTTTCTCTTGAGTCAGAAAAGGACCAGTGTCCTATAATGGCATGAGGGGCAAACATGCCGCTACCAGAACTGTCTTTTGCAGAAGATGTGTAACAGAAGCATGACCTTTTGTTGTCATTAGAGATCCAACGTCACTTTTTGCAAAACTGTAAGGATGTTGAGCCCTGTGTCCTGGCCATTTTAATTTCACCTACCAATTCACCAGCATTTTCAACTAGTTGTATTATTTTTCCATTCCCATCCTTAAATGTAGAGTGTGCTGTTGTATACATTGAACAGTGAAAAAATTCAGCTCAAAAAGGCAGCTATATTTCATTAGTGGACAACACAATGCCTCTAGTATATGTCTCATTTTAAAGTTTGTAACATGATTTGGGCCACTTCAGACTGAAGGAGAACACAGATGTCTAGCCTACTTCTTTATGAACTAGAAACTCAAACCCAGTATATATACATGTAGTAAAACTTCAATTCAACCTTTCAACTTAACTAAAAGAATTCAACACCAAACAACCCCAGATAAAGTATAGGTGCTTCCTTGTCCCATATGGTTTTAAGTGGAGAACATGAGTATCCCATCCTCACAGTACCACTTGGATATTTATTAATTCTTCAGTAACTACAAAGTAATAGTAAGGGAAAAAGGGGGGGGG